TTATTGTTGATTATTTATTGTTGATTGTTTATTACTTATTAATTAATTAAAGGAAATTATATTGCCACCTGTTGTGACTCAGCAGCAGTCTTCTGTGAGTCTTTTCGGGATGCAAGTTTAATTATGCAGCTGTGGCTCGTTAGGGGCATATTCTGGGGATAAAAGGACAGATGGTGCCACGCTCTAGTTGCAGGAGTCAACGTACGTTCCTTGGTTCGTTCAACATTGATTGATCATCGGTCGTGGTTTATGTAAGATACACTTGGAGAAGTGCTTTGTTTTTCTGTAACCCTGATTCAAGGAGACATTTGGAGAAGTGCATTGCTTGTAAGAGTTTTTGTTTGGTATTTTGTTATCTCGTCAGAGATTTTATTTATGAGTCCCCTTCTGGGAAAAGGGCGACATAGAAATTTAATAAAATCAATTCAATTCAATTCAATATTTTTGGGCTCGCAGCCAGTCTGAGCCGAGAACTGATAAAGAGAGTTCCTTTTAAGTTCTTTGCCTGTCGTCTGTTAATGAGCGAGGAAGGGGGGACAGAACAGATAAAGATGTTTAAAGGGCCAGAATGGGACATTGAATTCATCTTCACAGCTCCCTCCTCGGCAGTGTGTGGAGTCACACTGGATGTTGGTGGCAAGAAGGAATATCTCATTGCAGGGAAATTGGAGGGTAATGGCAGGAGTCACATTCACCCTTTGTGTCTTTTGCTGGGGTGGGGGTGGGGCAAAAGAGAACAGGAAGTAAATTGGAAAGGAAAAAGCCTTCAAAAAATTTTCCTAACCAAAAATGCTTCCACAACTCTTTTCACTTGGTTGAAAATGATTGGGTTTCAGTTTCTAAACCTGCTCTCTAAAATTTAACAGCTTCTTTCATGAGATCCATTTTTTTTCCAATTGATATTCATTTTTATATAGAGAAGCCAGGATGAAAAATTACCTGGTCAAATTATACCTGCATTATATATTTCCAGAGTTGGCAAATATATTGTGTGACATTTCTGACGGACCAGAAAATTAAAATATTACAGTGAAAAAAATAGATAATTAGCAACCATTCTCCTTAGCATATTGCTTTCTGTGATATCAAGAAAGGATTTAATTCTTCCCCTCGCCCCATACTTCTTTGATATCACACAGAATTTTAATGTAGAATTAGACGGTTTTAGAAATCAGCATGTCTCTCTACATGCGAAATCTATAATCCAGAATGAGCCTGCATCATCCCTGAAAGATGGTCATACAGCTTTTGCTTTTTATCACCAATGATTGTGCTTTTAAATCCAATTTTTCCTCTTATTGAACATTTCTTGAACTGTCAGGATTTATACATGTTATATTATAGTTTGTTTCTCTTTCTCAGTGAGATGCAGAAAAAAATCTGAACTACATATTCAAAATAAGAATCACAAATATTAATTAAGCCATTTTACTGCTTTTGGAATTTCGGTAAGGTGCTACATCTCATAGACACTTTTGAGTTACCCACTGGGACACTTCAGATGGAGATTGAAAAACCCTTCCTTGTATGTAGTTAGCAATAGCAATAGCAATAGCAA